TTAAGTGTCTACGTCAGTGCGTAACTTTCCCAAGAGGAGCTGCCGTGGATGCGAACACATTAAGCCATGGATATGTGGAGTAAAGTGGCGTCTGCTTGAGAGTAGAGGTCGGAGCTCATATTTTAAATTCCACTAGAACCCATGACCAGAAACATAAGCTGAAAGGGGCACTAATTAATGACCTTGTGAAGCCACAACTTAGTAATGGACACCAGGAAACAAACTTTCTTTTATCTGCTCCTCTCAGAGCACAGGATAAGAATGCAAATTACTGACTGTGCATGTTTGACAATGTCTGCGAAGTGGTGTTGAGCCAGGAGCCTCGGTGACTGCTGCTGTGCTTTAATGAGCTCTCTGATGCCACAAGCTTAGAGTGTTACAGCCTGTGACACAGGTAGAATTGCCAGCTAGCACGAGAAGAGCCAGATGAGCAGCGGTGTCACTACCTGCTTCTCTTCTGTGTCCCACAGCTGCATCCTATGACAAGCGAATTGCACTCTGGGATATTGGGATTCCAGACTGTGACTACAATTTCAAAGCAAGGTAAAGGTTCAAAAACCAGATGTGGCCAGTCTAGGAGTCTGTATCATGTCGCAGCACCACTTAATTGCTTGTTCTCTTTTTTTTTTTTGCTTTTGTTTTTTTTTTTTTAGCCAGCTGCTGGTGCTGGAAGCGCTCTCCATTCCCTTACGGATTGCCCTGGTCCCCACCTGCCCGGAGCAGTACCTTCTGGCTGGCTGTGAAGGCGGCTGCTTTGCCTGGAATATAAAACTGGATAAAGAACAAAAAAGCAGGTGAGAACCAAAAGTTGGGGGCATGCATTTGCTTTCCATAACAAGAAGAGGTAGTCCTAGCAAAGGCTTTATTTCTAACCGAGGAGGTCTGAGCAAGAAAAGCAGCATGTCCTACCAAACTTAAAGCGTACTGTCCTTCCCACAGTGGCAGGAAAAAATACTAGCACGATGCTAAAGGAGTTTTGAAAGCTAGCAGCCCTGAGCTTGTACTGATGCTCCGGTCTGGAAGTGTTGCAGGCTGCTTTGAAGGCTGACATGCGTGTAATACAATACCCTAAAACTTAAGGGCGTATCACCTTGAAGTAGTGTAAGGGAGTGTAAATTCTTGGATCGAGTGCCAGGCTCACAGCAAGGCCTGCTTCTGGTACGTGAGGTTACCCAGGAAACTGGCACTTTGTGAGAGCACAGAAAAAAATGGCAAGAAAGAAGCAAGTGAAGTCATGCCCTGCTGACATATACTAATCCTGATGCCTACAAAAACAGATGAAGTAAAACAGCAGTCTCTTAAGTAAACAGGCTTCTGCTATGTTAATAAACCCAGGTGGCTGAAAGCCTAAGTTCAAGTGGGAATTCATCTGAGTTTGGCAAGAGACTCGCTCACACACGAATTTCCTTCTCCTGGGTTCTGTACCCGAGTGCCCTTCCACTGCTGCCCATTGACACATTTCACCCTTCCCCCCTACTCTAGGCCTTTTGAAGCTGTATTCCAGTTTGCTGATGAGGATGGAGGCATGACAACATCTCACAGGGTTGACGGTTTGGCTTTTCTGAATGATGATGTCATTGGTGAGTATAAACACAATAGCCTAATCCAGAAAAACAGTCAGGCACCTCAGCGTGTGGCAGGCTGAAGCCAGCAGGATGAGCAGAGGGACTGAACAGGGTGTGATTACCTCTTCTTTAGGTTTTTTGGGGTTAAACAGAATGGGGTTGTCTCGCAGAGTCACTCATCTTTCCC